AAGCCCTCATACCCGGGTATAACTCTTGGTTGACATTTTTAAATAGTTTTTGATATTGTTCAAATTCTGCATTATCCATTGGTGTAGGCACATCATCTTCCACTTCCTGATTGGTATTTGTCGACGTAAATGGAAAAGCGTCATTTAAGATTTCCATGACTTGTTCATTAGGATACATATTAGGTTTAACATTGCCCACTTTTGTTGACACACCCCGACTGAGGTCAGGGCATGCTGGCCGCCACGCAGAGGTGACGTAACCATGTGCACGTGCAGAAGCTAATAAAAAGTAATATAAAAGTACGAATAATTAAAAAAGACTAGCATACAAAGTAGTAAAAACAAGTGCTAGCGTAAATGAGACGCTAAGTTCAGAGCAATAAGTCTACAGCAGTCCAAATTAAAATGATGCGACAACAGTGCACCCGAAGGTGACCCTACATTGGTGAGTGTCTGTCAGAAATGTCGGGAAGCCCTCTGGGAAACCACCGAACCTGCTAAGCAACTAGAACCTGGAATGGCGCAAAACAAAAGCGTGAGTGGGCAAAAACAAAGCTCTTTGAAAACCATTTAGTAAAATACATTCTAACCCTTCGCCGTAAAACCTGTATACTTCCCAGAAAATAAACGTATATACGTAGGTATGGGTATACCAATCATACTCAAGAATATGCCATGACAAAACCTCATAATGAAATGCAAGTGCTCAGGTATAAATCATAACAACAACATATAATCTGGCGGCCGGAGTCACCTAACGTGACCTGTACGGCTGCATACATAAATATAGAGCTCAAAACTCAAACTCAATAACTGAACCTGCCCACGAGTCGGAACCACCTAAAGTGGTCTGTACGACAGGCCTGGGTGTAACATATATATATATATATATATATATATATATATATACGCTCTAGTGCTACGATCACGTGAAGGCTGTGCGAATAATCGCGTCACCTACGAGTCGGAACCACCTAATGTGGTATGTACGACAGGACTGTGCACCTAACTTGGATCCAAGCTGAGCGTGTGGTGCGGGAGGTGAACATTGTTGGAAATGTGCCCTAAAACCAATCATATGATGATACTTTACGGACATTTCAAACTAATGTAGTTTAAATGTAAAGGGCAAAGATTATTGTTTGAGCCGTCTCATATAAATGTTATATGCTTAAACGATAAGTCCAAGGAATATGTGATTGGAAGAATGCGATCTAAAGAAGTTAGATTCATGAGACCATTCTTTCGTTGACACATCCTAAACATTCCTGATCATAGGATTGTCAATTGGGCATTGACAGTCCGTTAAGATCAGTACGTGTTATGTCTTCTCTCAGGGAGAGTGACTAGTCTCGAGTCATTGGTGTGTGTGACATCAAGACAAGTACGTAGGTGCTCAATAGAGAATGAGTTCACTGAACACGATCAACGAAGAGTTCTCATATTCATGTCACATGAGAACTCATGGTTGGGATAATGCAAATTAGTCTTTTGACCTGAGGCATCACAGTTGTCTTGTGGTTAGGTCCTTAATCTTTGATTATGTCAAAGTCACTCCATCATGAGGGTGTCCATGGCATCATTAGGGTTAAGCCACTTAGCCATGGAGGCAAGTGAATGCGCAACAAGGGATCTCTAACCTTCAAACTGTTTGAGGGAGAATACTCTATGATATGATTTTGAATCTTTGGCCAAAGTATGAATGAGATTTAGGAATGTGTTCCAAATCACGTTCAAGGTAATCATATAAGCACAAGACTCACATTGGATAGTAGACATGAATAAACTATCAAACCAAACAATGTGGTCGAGAGTATTGTATTAGAGAAAGACTGTATTGCATTTGTAATCCTAAAACTGAATAGATTCTCCACCTCTTCTGATTAGCTTGGGTAACCATGACATGCTGCTAGGTGTCAACCATAGTTTGTGGAAGCCCTAAAAGTGTATTATCACTAACGGGAGAATTGAAAGTAAGTTTCAATTCACAATCGATTTGAAAGAGTTTGAATCGCCCACTGCCTCGCTAAAAGGAACCTAATGGATCGTACACCGTGTAAGGTAGAGATTGAAGATTCAACGGAGATGAGTAAGAATAATTAAATGGTTTAATTATTTATGGCAAGGATTAATTAATATGATTATTAATCAAACGAATAAGTTCGTTAAAAGACCTCGGGATAGTTTTGGACCTTAAGGCCCAATGGGCTTCGAACGTCAAGTCCATTGACTTAAGTTGTATGACAACTTAATGAATAATGATTCACAAAGGCCCAAATAGCCCAATAAATCCCTAAGGCCGGCCATGTTAGAGAAGGAGTGGGTTTTGGACTTATTTACAAGTTTGCCACTCAAATGAATTAAGGTATAAGTGTGACTTAATAGCCAAAATTCATTAAGGGTTATTTTTGGGGAAAGGATGAGAACACAAGCTCTCCTTTCTCTCTAAAATTTCGGCCACCCTTGAGGAAAACATCTAGCAATCTTACTTCCTCAAGGTCACTCATTTCTTCTTCAATCTTACCTTGGTGTGGAGACTTAGAGGTTCTCAATTTTGGGAACTTGGAGAAACCTTTTCATCCATCCAAATCCATGGATCTAAGATGCAAGGAATGAAGGCCCTCTCTTTGGGTGATTAGCCTTTGCTTATGCAAAGAGGAATCTACAAAGGTATTGATTTCTCAACTCACTTTGTTTTGAGTTGAGTCTTGGTTCACCTATCTACTAGGCTTTGAATTTTATGGGTAAATGTTTTGTTTTTAAGTGCATACAAGCATGATTCCGCCTTTAATTGTTAATTGCATGCTATTGATGTTGCTTAAATGAACATGTTTTTCACAAATCTTCCTTCAAGTGGTATCAAGAGCCTAAGTCTAGTAGTTGGTGAATCCTTTTGGGTTTTGTAGTTCATAGTTTGTGATTTGAATGTTGTAATTGTTACAAGCTTTATTCTTGCTTCTTTGAATGTAAATTTTGTTAGAAAATTTGCCATCTCAAATGTTGTAGATGTAGTTCATATGAGCATGAATTTTGGAGCTAAAATTTGGTGCCATGTTTTTGGGGAAATTCGGCCAAATCCAAAGGGTGGATTTTTGGGTTCTTGTTTGACTTGTTAAAAGTGTTTTAAAGTGACTTTTGGAACCCCTATGTACCCTAGTATGGTTGTATGTTATTTCCCTTAAGTTTGAGTGGTTTTGGGATGGTTTTGGGTGAAGAATGTTCATGGAGCTCTTATGGGTTTTCATGAATGTTCTTCATTGTTCTTGATATGTTCTTGCCAAGAACAAAAGGTTTGGTGTTTTGATTCAAAGTTTTGATTTATTTCATAAAGTTTTTTGTTTTGAAATATTTCTTATGTTTAAATATCTTAGATATTTGTTTTGAAAAATTAAAGAAATTTTAGTGGGTAGGTGTGTAATGATTTATTCCATTACACACACCCCACTTACAAAAACTTTGAAATTTTTTTTATTACTTTGCTTCAAAACCAGCCACCCTACTCAATTAGGGTCCTTGTGGGGCTTTTGTGCAATTATATAAAGTTTTGATACTTTTGTGTATTTGCATTTTGACCCAAAAGTTTACGTTTTTTACGTAAAGGTCCAAAATCACTAAAGGTAGCGTTTGGTACGCAGACGGGACGGGACGGGACGGGACGGAACAGATGTTCTGTGTTATGTTTGGTATGCGCAGGACGGAACAAGAAGGTTGTTCCGTCCTGCGTTTGGTAGCACATGGACGGAACGGAACCAAAAGATTAAAATGACTAAAATACCCATGTTCCAGTGTTGTTTGGTACAATTTTATGGGCGGAACGGGACATGACTCTTTTTTTTTTTTTTTTTTTTTTTTTTTTTTTAAAGTTGTTCAAATTTGAACACTATTATCCATTATTTGTTTTTCTTGGTCCAAATTTTAATAGATATATGTTGTGTTTCACATGCAAACCCCTTTAAAATTTGTAATTTTTCCCGTTTTCTACACCTCCATTCGAATTTTCACCACAAACCCATCAAATTTTATTGTGCAAATTGCAAAACCCACACCCCAATTCAATTTTTAGTCCCTAATTTTGGTCCTTTCAATTGTGGGTTGTTGTTGTTAAGGATGGATTTATAAGATGTTACAATCCTATCACTAAGGAAATAAATAATTTACATAAAATCATAATAAACTACGAATCCCAAGAATACAAGAATATATACACAAAAGTTAACAAATTGTTGAAGAGAGCTGGAGTATTCAAAGTAGGTGTGGATGGTTGGAGAAATGGCAACGAGAATTAAACTCTTCTAGTGAAAATTTGATGAAATGGAGTAGAAGAAAATTTAACAAAGGAAGGGAGGAAATTGATCATCTAATGCATTATTTGGGTTGCCTCCATGATAATTGGGAGGAACATGGTGAGCAGATTAAGGCCTTGATAGAGTGTATTAACAAATTGAAAGAAAGAGAAAAGAAGTTTTAACTAGGTCTCGAATCAAATGGATGCAGGTTGGGATTCTAACTCAAAGTTCTTTCACTAGACCACCATATAGAATAGATGATTTAATACAGTTGAAAAATTGCAAAACATTCAAGGGGTATGGATAGAGGAGGCGAATGTTACATGGTAGACAGTGGAAGAGCATTTCATCAACTTGTTCATGTCTGGGGGTTAGCAAGATTGGGGGGCTATCCTTGACTATGTTATCCTAATAATATTAGAGAAGGTGAACAATGATTATACAAAGCCAATTAGCAATGACGAGATCAAGGATGATTTGTTCCCAATAGGGTGTTTAAAGGCTCTAGGCCTTGACGGTTTTGAAAGAGATTTTTCCCATTCTTTTTTGGATATTATCTCGGAATAGATCAATGGCCTAGTTCAGGATTTCTCGAGTGGGGGAACAAGCCCCAAGCACCTTAATAGGTTCTACAAACATTAGAATTGGCCTTGTTTAGAAGGACACCCCTCTAAATATTCCCCATTGCAGGAACAAGGCAAACCACATAAGAGCACATGACAAATGTTGAAAAATATATAAGTTTAATGATCATGCATATCGTAAACATTTTAGAGTTTAAACATTTAGAACTTAAACAAAGAAAATGAAATATGCATAACTTAAACATGAAATATTCGAAATCAAACATTCGTCCTGACTTAAAAAACAAATAATGTCTTGCTAAAGTAATAATGAAAACACTTAGAAGTTGATAAAGTTCCCCATACTAAAACCACAAATACTAAAACCTCAAAGGCTCTCCATAAACACTTTAATGAAATCTGGCTTCTGTGAGTCATCCAAGGTGCTCCAAATACCCATAAGATCGGTATCTTTCACTAACTTCATTGAAATTCTTAACACCTGATCGTATAAGAGACCCATGGCCTGAAGCTCAGAAGGTAGTCTAGCTTTTGCTTCTCTAAAAGTAAAACTTTCACCTAATTTCTTCATTTCAGTAACAGCTTTATTCCAACCTTCACTGATAACAGATACAATATTTGCATCACCATCATTCCTGCTCCTCTTCCTCTTCCTAACAGGTTGAGAAGCACTAGATGTAGCAACAGAAGGAGATGGGGTAGGTGAAAGCGGAGGTATCTCAGAAGTCTCACAATCCTCACTTTCCAAACCCATATTTTCAATTGCATCTGCCGCTGATTCAGCAATGCTACCCGTGGCTCGGTCTCTCCCAAACACCGTACATAGCCGTGGATACAACGGGAATGGCTTATTTGGTTTGCAAGATGCATTGGGATGTTTCTACAATAAGAACCCAAAGAAATCAAGGTTAAGACTTTCAAAACAACTAATTGATAAAGAATAAGAAAAAAAAAATTTACCTTCACCCACTCCTGTAGTATTTCGTCACTATCCACAACAATACATTTTTTCTCATCATCCCAACCAAATCCAGATGTATTCATCATGTCATATGCAGACGAATACTTTTCTTTCAGACGCTTCAATTTGTTTTGTATATGCTTCGGCTCTATATTAATGCCAAGAATCTGTTCCCTCATCTTGGAGGCAACCGTTACAAAAGTACCAGCCTTAAAATTGCCGGTCTCACACCTAACACCATCAGCAACCATCTCCTCGAGGATGGTAAGTAGTACATCCTCCTCATGATCAATCCAATTACGTGAGGTGGCCATATAATCTATCAAATAAGCCATATATTACACAAGTAACACAAATAAATTTATATTAGTTGTACTAATCAATTACCAAATCAAATAAGCCAAATCAAATGACAATGACTAAATTTATATTAGTTGTACTAATCAATTACCAAATCAAATAAGCCAAATCAAATGACAATGACTAAATTTATATTAGTTTAGTTCTCTAAGTATTTTATGTTCTAAGAGTAATTTTGCTCCATGTGTTGACAATACAGAGGACAGCTGCAGACCAGATATTGAGGGACTTGCAAAACAATCCTGATATGTGGCTCCAATCTATGACCAGTGCATTTACTTTTTGTCTAACAAGGCCACTGTCAGATGCCCAGATGGTCCTTGCAGTTGGGCAGCAAGGCTGAAGCAAGCCAAAAATAGAATGCCTTTATGTGGGTACAACAACAACAATAATAATCAAGTTGACTGCTTAGGTGTAGATTTTGTTCTTTGTTAAACAAGGCATCAGATAAAGTCTACAGAATGCTTATACCATCTAATCTTGTTGCATATTCATTGGCTTTCTCATGGTTTGGTGCTTTGGAAAAAATTCTATGCAGCTTTTCATTACGACTTGTATAAATCTTTCTCTTTGTAATTTAAGGTGCTGATATTATGAGGGTTTTCTTTGCATCTACATTCAGGTCCTAGAAGGGGTTATCAAGTATAGGTGGAATGCATTGCCTGTTGAACAGAGAGACGGAATGAAAAATTATCTCTTATGTCATTGTACAGGTATGAATCATGCAGTAAATATATGAGGATTGCAAGTTTTGCTCGTTTAGATAGTCATATAGTAAATTTCCTTTCTTACCTTTGGTTCCTTTTTTGTGAAGCTATCAAGTAATGAGGCCTCTTTTCGAATGGAAAGACTTTATGTCAGCAAACTCAATATTATACTGGTTCAGGTATTTCCTTGTTTCTCTCCCATTAGGATTATTGCATTTGTCGCTTTTTTTGGTTAGTTTGTTGTATCAAGCACTTTGTTTTCTTTTCTGTTTGTCTGTTGGCTTTTTCTATTTGATAGTATCTGAAATTTACTTGTTATATTCAAATCTGTAATTGCTTACTTGTTGGATAGTTGTACTCGAGAGTAAACAATTAAATAAATAGAAAAGTTGCATATGGATGGACAAGCACAAACAGAAAATCCAATACCAAAAGCACCAGAGGAATCTAAAAAAAACGCTACTTCCTAATGCACTTGAAACAATAGACAACCTAATTTTAAAATAAGCCAAATCAATAGTTTAATTACCAAATCAAATAAGCCAAATCAAATGACAATGACTACACCCTAATTTTAAAATTTATTAAAATTTAGTAACACAAATAAACATATCAAATAAGCCATAACATCTAGATAACTCCAAATTACCATACTACAATAACAAACATCTCAATAGTCTTGATGTTACGAATTTTCAAGCCAATTACAACAACTAAATTGAGTCCCCTTCTAAAAGACAATTACAACAACTACCATGTTAACCAATTTTCAAGCCCTTCTTCCTCTCCACTCATCATATATTTCTCTTGCAAGATCATCCCTCCATTGAGTCCATATTTGGCTTGACTCAACGGTTTCAATGTAGGCTAATACTTCTGGTAAATCTTCCCCTATAGGTAATTCATCAAATGCAAGCCTTGCATTTTCTTCAGGATCAACTGCCATATACATTCTGATAAAATTATGAAGTAAACTACATGCGGTGATCATTCGTCCCTGAATCTTGATTGGATAGTGGGAAGGACTTCGTAAGATAGCCCAACGTCGTTTGAGGAGGCCAAAACATCTCTCAATGACATTCCTGGCACGTGAGTGTTTCATATTAAAATATTCTTCATGATTCCTAGGTGCCCGTGAATTGTTTTCCCACTCTTGCAAATGGTATCTAGTGCCTCTATACGGTGCCAGAAAACCTTCACCATTCGTATATCCGGAATCAACCAAATAATATGTACCAGTTGGGACCTTGAGGCCATTAGCTCTAGTAACAGCGTCACCAAGAACTCTCGAATCAGTAGCTGATCCCTCCCAACCGGATAACACATATACGAATTTGAGGTCGTGTGTGCATACACCTAACACATTAGTTGCTATATGACCCTTCCTTGTTCTATATCTTGGTCTATCGGCATCAGGCACAGTGACCCCTATGTAAGTTCCATCTAGCGCTCCTAAGCAACCCTAGACAAAAGAAAAACTTATATTAATTAGCAATTACAAATAATTATGTTATTAATGATTTTACTATGATTATTACCTTAAAGCATTTCCATCTTGATTCCGTGCAATCCTCTGGGATAGGGGTTGGTTTTGCAAACAACACATCTTGCAAACTGAGTAATGCACGCAATACTCTACGGACATATCGACTAATAGTTTCACCAGACCTAAAAAATCTAACTTGCATTGACCTATTTTTATTGTGGTGGGCTAATATGTTAACAAAAGTAGCTACTTGCTCCTCTATTGTAACATGACCATCATCTACCAATCCACCACGAGTTTGTAGTAAATCACATAAAACTGCAAATGCATTCCTATCCATTCGTAGCTCCCACAAACAGTTAGTATCACTCAATCGCGTGATACGATTTATTTCCTCTCTCCTAACATGAAGTCTAACAAATGTCCTCTGCTCTAAACTAGCTATTTCCCGTTGTCTCCTTTGTTGTTGTCTATACCTCAACAATTGTGCATTCATAGTAAAGACTTGTGCCATTATAATCCAAACGTTCAAAAGAACAAAGAATTGAGTCTCATATTCATCCATACCTTCACATGCAAAAAAACAACACATGAATGAGTGGAGTATCAACATACGCTAAATTCATTTTAGATACTCGGACTTGGTAATAATGATAATATAATGTATAATAAAAAGCAAGGCCCAACAAACTATACAACGCAAAATAGTTCACTTGGAGGGTTTGGTTTAGACTAATGAAGTAAGTCATTGAAATTAAAAGGAAGTAATAATATATAATGTTTATGGACGTTGCTTTCTTAGCCTAAAACCATTGAGCCATATGATCATAGATATCACTCTCACAAATCCAAAATAACATAGATATCACTCTTCTAATTTTATCACAACTACCTCAAATCTTATGAATCAAGCATAACCATCACAGCAAGTCAAATGAAAAAAAGTAGCTGTGGATTTAAATAAAATTGCTAGCACAAAAATCAGCAATAAAACATGCATTACCAATTAACAACCCAAACATGCACAAAAAAGGTCCCAAATCACCAAAACAAAACAAAAAAAAGAGTAAAATTTAGCTGCAAAGAAAACAAATAATACAGTTTTTTCCTAGTTCTCTGTACATATACATAAAACAAAACCAAACATGCATTACCTTTTGGCATTTTGCTTAAAGTGACTTGTTTATTTTCCTAGTTCTCTGTACATATACATTTTTTTATTTTTAGAAGAACTGTACGTATACATATTAATCGCCATAAACTTGCATGCTATTATCCTTATTAATCTAGGTATATTTTTTGACAATTTGCCTTATCTTTATGGTCAGCGTTGGTGCTGGATGTTCTCAACTCCTCTCTGACATGCAGGCTTTCAAGGTTTTCACTAATGAGAACTTATTTTATAGATTCACTGAATGCTGTGGATTTAAATAAAATTGCTAGCACAAAAATCAGCAAGAAAACATGCATTACCAATTAACAACCCAAACATGCACAAAAAAGTCCCAAATCACCAAAACAAAACAAAAAAAAAAAGTAAAATTTAGCTGCAAAGAAAACAAATAATACATTTGTATACCTTTAGCACAGAGAGTTCCAAGAATCAGAATCGAAAATCCAAAAATCTGAAAGGGACGGTTTCCCGAATCTGGAAAACAAAATGCATCAGACACGCACAATAACGATCCAACAAAAAAAAAAGATCCAAACCATATAAGCTGATAAACATGCAAAACTCACAGATAAATAACGATCTTGGGCTGATTTAGAATCACGATTCGTAATATTAGTCTTCAGACCTGTAAGCAACCAACAATCTGTCAGAGCAATACCATTTTGTTTTTCGAATAATCCACATGAGATCAAACCCAAACATGTCAAAAAAATTTGTGCCCTTCAACACAGTCAACACATGGATTAGTCCATTGATTTTCTATGTCCAGGTCAGATGCAAACCACTACATTTTTAGTTGCGAAGTTGGTTTTATTGTAACTCTGTTCCTTCATAAGTTTTCTTGACATATTAACTGCCCCAAGCCATAATGTATTGTTGCATGATAATCGGAGTTGGGGTGCTAATGTGGAGTTGACATAATACTTTGTTGCGCAGTATCACAATGATCTCTTTGTATTTGACCTGGATCAGTTCAAGGTAGAGATCTTGGCTCTGTCATGTTAATCTACTATTATTAATTCATGTTCGTTACTTATGTACATATATGTTCAAGTGCGTGGGTGCAAGAGCACCTTTAAGCTGCAGAACGTAATTTATTAGATGATCATCGTACTCATGCTGTATATGTGATACAATGCCATATGTTTTATGTTGTTGGTGCAGGCTAAGGCAGAAGAGTGGATGCAGTCCACATTTTTTCCCATTTCACAAAATACAAATTACAGATTGATATGTATTTACTCAAGAAACAAAATCAGAACCATACAACTCAACAATCAAGAACACAAAGGCATCCAAGAAACACCAAATTGACCAAACTGACCGTTCATTGACTGAAGTTCTAGTAACTGATCCAAGAAATTCACCCAAATTTCAGTCACAGAGAAATTTATCAACCAACCATTCACATATATGGTTGCCATTTCCCACCTTGTCTTGATTACATGGCACAGCTTAATTTGATAATACTCAATGTTATAGCAGACATTACAGCTAGAAACTATAAAAGGACCGATTTAAGTAATCACCTATTCAAGTCCATCCTTTCTTGGATACTAGCCTCTTTGCACATTGTTTTCATGCTTCGCAAGATAGTCTAGGATTACTTGGCAGAGTAATACATACCTGGATTACAGGAAAGTGTTCACCAGCAGGCTATCTTTCTAGGCTATCAATTTTGAACCTTTGATCCAATTAATTCTTGTTGGAAAGAATGGTCCAAACTAACAGTATCACGACCTAACATACCAGACGACTATTTGACAACAAACCCTAAACAGGAGAACCCTCAATTGCATAGTTAAAACCAAAATTATGGAAGTCCAATTTATTTAGTGTTATATTTCCTAATTGATTAAGTATCATAACTAAAGCTGAGAAAAGAAGATATGAATGAAAACATTCATTCACAAAAACAAAATGAATCAGTAAACTCACATTTGAAACTTTGACAGAGGTGCGTAGATTTCGGGGTGCAGGCTCCCCAATGTATTTGGTCGACTCGGAATCACAGGAGCACAAAGCAGCCTCTGTATTTTTCCAATATCATTGTTTTTATGACATTCCCCAAAAAGTTTGAGATTTTGCAAGATGCCTAATTTCCTAAATTGAATTTGAGAACAGAAAGACAGATTGAAAGCGGAAACAGAAACCCAAGAAAAAAATGTACCAGACCCAGATGAGAATCGCCAAAAAAAAATAGTATTTTGCTGCACTCTAGTTGATACAAAATATCAAACACAAACAGAGAACAAATACATAAACAGAGAACAAATAAAAAACATTTGAACAATCGAAGAAAGAGAGACCGAGAGCTACACGAAAACAGATCGAACCTGGAACCGAGATGCAGAGCTGAAGATGCTACGGAAGAGGATGAGGAGGAAGGTTCGCAGAGCTGCTACACGGAAGATGCAGAGGTGAAGAGGCTACAGGGAAGAAGATGAGGAGGAAAGGGAAGATGCAGAGGGAGGAACACGACGGCTGAGAAGAAGAGGGATAGTTTTTAGGGTTTGTTATATGATTTTTGATGTAAATTTTGAAAAAGACAAGGGGCATTTTTGTCTTAAAAATTTGGAAATTTCTGTCCCACAGGCATGGAACAACCCGTTCCAGGGTGGGGGTGTGGAACAGAAAATCATCCAAAATCTGTTCCATGGAACACCCCGTTCCACTCATTTTAGGCGCACCAAACGCGGGACGGAACGCCTCGTCTCACTCTGTTCCGTCCTGTCCCGCGTACCAAACGCAACCAAAAGGACAAATTGTTTTGCTCCTTTAATGAAGTTTTAGCTTTTGTGGAAATTTTTGGGTTCTAGTTGTAATTACATGAAGTAGTGGACTTTTGTGTTTTTACAAAGTGACCCCAAAAGTTTAAGTTTTTGCAAAATAGCCCAAAAGTTGAGGTTAATTGCACTATGGCCCAAATTAGGTAGAGAACAAAATTGTTTTATCTCTTTAAATGAGAATTGGATTTTCATTTCATTTAGCTCCATTTAAATCATTTCTATGGATACAAAAACCAAATGAAAATGTTGCATTCAAGTTTAATTAGTTAAAGCGTTAATTAATTAAAGAAAGGGTGATTATGAACCTTAGCCTACGATAATTGAGCTATGTGAAAGGCCGTTTCAAATTTGTTTGAACCATGGGAATGTGTAGATTAAATTTTGGTTGTAATTTGATATGATCAATTGTTGTAAAAGAGCATAAGCTCTTCTTTACTTTAAAGTAATTTGATTTGATCAATTGTTGTAAAAGAGCATAAGCTCTTCTTTACTTTAAAGTAATTTGATTTGATCAATTGTTGTAAAAGAGCATAAGCTCTTATTTACTTTGAAGTACTTCTTTCTTGTTTTATTCGATATGCATGAAATTGGAGTAGTTGGGTCCAACGCCCAATAAGACAACACGCCTTAATGTGATTAAACGCGTAACTAAAATCAATCTTCATCCCTAGACCGAGATTCAACACTAGGCTCGTGTTGAATCGAATCAAAGGTTCATAGTCATCCTAAGGCCCTAAGGCAACTATAAAGTCCATCAATGAATGCAAATCTTATGTTAGTAGTACCATATAGTCTTGCTTTAAAAACCGTTTTAAAAGCATAGTGGGAGTATTATATACTACTAAATCAATCATATGGACCAATAGTTGTAATAGGACCAAAATGTTTTAATTGGATTAAAATGTATGTTTATATGTGATGAGACCTAAAACCCTCAACAAACCATTATTAAGTTGATAAGCAAGAGATGCTTTGAATATCTCTTCGTAGGCCTTCCACCGTGGTGGGCTCCAATCGTTTGTGACTTATGCACCGGCTTCACCCTATAATGGGGAAGTACAAAGTATGTGCTTACATCCAGAGGAGTCCATAAACATATGATGAGGTGAGTGTAGACAACGAGTATGACCAACATGATACCAACATGATATAATTTTGAGGCATTCATTCTCTAGAGGCCAAACTAGATGGGTAATTACAAGAGTTGTAAATGACTAAAGTGTTATTCTCTCATCATTATTTTTGCTAACCAAAATGATATAATTCTGAGGTGGGCTTGGTAATGGTGAGTCTCCCATACCCTGCTAAGAGTTCAACAAAACTCTCGAATTCCGATGAGGGATATGGAATTTGACAAAAATAGTGGGTGGTGCTATTTGATTTAAAAACCCGAATCAAATGGCTTAAAATCAATCAATTTATATTCGTTATGTATCTGTTTACCAATATATTTGCAAACGCTATCCAAAACTTGACAAAGAAAAACCGAATGCTTTAATTTTCGGACTTAGTTCTACAATCCCATAGATTGTCTTTAATGGCTTGTAGATGTAACTAAGTAGTCTCATCCTCACAATCTTCCTATTGATAATGTATCATTGGAAGAATATGTTAGATAAGTCTAACATGAGAAGGACAACACTTTTAATGTCATAATTCTTCAAATACAAATTGTTGTATGAAGAAATAAGAGTTGCTTTGAACAACCCTTAATCAACACTAACTTTAGTGCTTGTTTCTTTGTTACATAAACAAGGAACTTGAGAAGTAAGCACAAGGGCATGGACACTTTATGTGCCATGATTCTTCACTTACAAATTGTTGTATGAAGAAATGAGAGTTGCCTTGAACAACTCTTGAAAGTTTTTTATTATGTTTAGAACATAATGGTTGGTTGACAAAAATAGTCCATTTATATGGACTTATGATGATTTTGAATCATTGAGTGTTGAAGTGTTAAAACACTTAACGAGACGGAAACTAGGCAAGGACTTCACATTTGTGTCCCTATCCTAATGGTTCACTAAGTTTATTGTAAACTATATAGTGAACAATAACCGCACGCTCTTCAAATCGTTTGATGTGTATAACACATTTGAAATAAGTTTCAAGAGAGATAGTGGGAGTTTAGGGACCATGACTATTGTAGTCAAAAGGGAAGTCAAATGAAGAAAGCAAAAATAACTCCAAGGGAACAAACTTTCTTTATGAAAGGATGGACATTGGAAGGGGTATTTGCAAGAAATGTCTTGCAAGTGTCAAGAACACACCTTTTGAAGGTGTTGTAAAATGTTCTTGAAAAGTTCATAACAGTTGGTTCTTCTACTTGAATGCATGATTCTGTATTAGTAACTATGTTTTACAATTGTTGTAAAAGTGTGCTAATAAGAAGTAGAAGATTAATGAGAGAAGAGAAAGTACTTCACATTCCAAACGTGAATCGAATATAGATCTCTGCGAAAGCGGATTGTACTTACTTCCTCATATGAACTACCAAAGAAATTGGAAAAACCAAAGATTGTCTTTACGTCCCAATTTTAAAGGAACATAATTCCGTCACAGTTGTAGAGATGGATGAATGTTTTGTTTGACAAAACATTGTTCTTTATTAATGAATGATTAGATTATGGTAATCTAATTAATTGTCTCTATAGTAGAGATGATGTGGTAGTGTTAACTGTTTAAGAATATAACGATGCTTAAAACCCAAAAGGTTGCAAGGTAGTGACTAATCCCAACTGAGTTGTGATACCTCTAAAACATAAGTTACGAGTTGGTCATAGATGGATGCTTTGGATCGTTAGATCCGGATCCAATACCTTCTTGTTAAAATTGTATAGAGGCGAAATGTTCGAATCTTTATTCTTTTGGAAAGAAGAAAGAATCACAAAGTTGTTGAGGTTAATTCACTTAGATGTTAGTGGCACTTGTCCACAACATAATACCACTCATGTTGTATGACATTCACCGAAGATCACTCTTGGTTGGACTATAGTTTATTTTGAATAAACACAAGTCCGAATACTTTGCAAAAGGTTTCAAAGAATTCAAGAAATGTAAGTAGATGAGTAAGACATCTAAAGTATTTACCTCCTTAGATTTGATCCAAGGAAAAAGTAACACTTTAGATTAGTTTCCTTGAAAAATATCAAGGAAAGTAGCATCGTAAGATAATGAATTTCTCCATTAGGAGAAGAATGAACATGAATAAGATTTAGTTCGTTGGACATTATCAATTACCAATATATATATGATATATATTTCTAAGATAACCTAGTTCCTATACCACAAGCTCCAAGGTAGTCCAGAAGGATTTATAAACCGTCTCAGTTGAATGGTTTGGACATAATATGGGTTTCCGAAACCATTATTAAGATAGTCTTGATAATATATGTCTAAAACTATAAATCACAAGACAGGTTAGTTGTAGAGATCCATCCATCATGGATCTTAGCAAGCTAGTGGGAGCTATAAGCGTCTTATGAGAAAAGATCAATTGTTTGATTTCTCATAAAGATGTAAATGAATCTTTTGTTTACTAGGTTTACAAAAGATTAGTGGGAGTTGATCATATTCCTAAATTTGAATATATATACATGATATATATTAATTTTGAAAATGAAAGAAATTCTTCATCGTTAAAGTTATGACTTTAAACATTCTATAATGATAGAATGTATATGGGAGACATAGTCTATATACATGGGATGGAAATCTATAATGATAGATTTCAAGATATAATTGGATTATATCAATCCCTAAAATAGACAAGAGATGCTAGGAAGTTTCTCATATGATGATAAACTTCAATTAGAATGACAATTCTAGTGAGACTAGGAAGTTGTTCTTCTCAAAGGGAATGTACCCTTTGACTCCCAAAGAAATAATGCGTAAATAGAATCCTTTATGCATACACAGAAAGGTGATTTATGTATTTCATATTGTATGAAAACATTGATATAAGTTGTACCTAGAACGGTACAAGATGATATCAGTGCAAGCCTAGGATCAGAACCATGGCAACTGTCAAGTGAATCCTTAGGTATTTAAGAAATACTAAGGATGGATTCCTCAAGAATGAGGAAGAATTAGAGTAACGCAATGGAAGCATAAATGTATTAGATTATGAATCTAATCCATCATAGAATATCTCTTCATTATGAATGAAGTGATAATGAGATATCTCTTTATTATGACTAAAGAGATATTTGGGTGGAAACGTTAAAAGTAAATGACTTTAATGTATTCCATCATGTATGCAAAATATATTGCCATATAGAAGCTTACAACATTGTTGTTTGGATGGGAAAGTTCATTCATGAACTCTCCATTCGGTTCCAACCAGAAAGTGTATAACACTAATGGGGCGATAGCTCAAGCCAGGGAATCAAGGTCTCATCAAGGTCCGAACTCAAATGAGAGACTGAACCACATGATTGAGAATCATGTATAATGGTGACGTCATTATTCTCAAGGTTGCTTCTATGGATAACATATAGATATCCATTGTTTAGGCCTACTACTCAACCATTTATGAAATGAATTACAGAAGAGGTATCATCAATGATGACTAAGCTGATTGGCTCAAGTGCAAGTGGGAGATTGTTGGAAATGTGCCCTAAAACCAATCATATGATGATACTTTACGGACATTTCAAACTAATGTAGTGTAAATGTAAAGGGCAAAGATTATTGTTTGAGCCGTCTCATATAAATGTTATATGCTTAAACGATAAGTCCAAGGAATATGTGATTGGAAGAATGCGATTTAAAGAAGTTAGATTCATGAGACCATTCTTTCGTTGACACATCCTAAACGTTCCT